TCTTGCAAAGCTGCCCAGAGTAGCCTCAAACTCCAACTCCTTCTGCCTCAGCCTCCTGAGTTAGCTGGAATTATGGATGTGCACAGCACCTAGCTTCTTTATTCCTTTTGAATGGATGGAACACATTTTATTTATCTATTTATCCATTGATGGGCATGTGTTCTCATTTTCACTTGCTGTACAGGGTGCGTGGGGATATATATTACTGGGGATTAAACCCAGGCTCTTGTACGTCCCTCACCATTTTTATTTTTTGTTTTGACACATGATTTCATTGAGGGTAATGAAGTTGCCCAGGCTGGGTTTGAACTTGCAGTCCTCCGTCCTTAGAGGGTTTAGAATTTTGGAGCACATTTCATTCAGCCTGTATTGGGGTGCTGTCTGGGCAAGGCCATGGGGTGAGAATCAGTTGCCTTTGAAGGGCTGGTAGGAGACCCTGCTCCCCCTGTCTTCAGTGGCTAGGGAAGGAATCCTCCTTCCATTATGACTTTATCTAAGTGTCCAGAGGCAAAAGATATAATCAAATGGACTCTGTCCTGCATGCTATGGGGTAAATCCCAGGCACACGCAGACGTTGCCTTGCTCTGTGGCTGCTGCGTGTCCCTTTTCGTCCTCAGGCCACAGGCGTCTCTGGTGCATCTTTGTGATCTCAGTGCCCTACAGAGGCAGCTACCACATGGGGCCTGTCCGTGGCAGCAGGGAGGTGGTGCTGGCTGGAACACGTTGGGGGGCCTTTCCCACCCCTGTGTTCTCTCTGTACTGATGTGCGGCTATTGGATGCCAGAACTGCTGGTGTGGGTGACAGTGCCTTGCTCTTTCCCTAGGATGATTGCTGTTTCTACAATGGCACAGCTCACTGGGAGCCATCCTGGCCGAGTTTGGTGGGTGCTGCTGGCTGTTTCGTGCCCTTTGCAGTGTGTGTGGTCTCCAGGTTCCCCTACTACAACTCTCTCAAGGACTGCCTCTCTTGGTGAGCCCAGGGGTCACCTGATACCAAGTGTAGCGGGCAGTGGCAGGGTGGGCAGCCAGAGGTCTTTGAAAACCCAGATCCGGTAATGGTAATGTAGGGATGTGATGTGGCAGAGCTCAGAGGGTAGTGCCATGCCTCTGGAAGTAAGACTAATAGAGAGGGATTTATTTTTGTTTGGTTTTTAGAGAAGATACACATATCAGGAAAATTCTTCCTAGCTCTTAGGAGGCTATAGTTTGCTCTGACCAGGCTGTGTAAAGGAAGCCCTTCCTGACCTCACTGTGGTCCAGTGAAGTTTATATTTGTAATAACAGGAAAAAGTTATTGGAATTTTAATGAGTTAATTCCAGTCTACCACTTCCAGTGCAACCCATGGCACAAATAAAGACACAAATACATATCTAAAATGGTGGAGAACCAAGGGGGTCCTAAGTCCAGTTAGAACCATGGTTAACTGGAACAAAGGCCTCGACCCAGAACTGAACCTGGGTTTTATTAATTTGTGAAAAGGGGAGTGGCTCAGGGGTGAGTGACAGAGAAAATCGAAGTACGTGAGTGCTGTGAGCTGGTCAGGTAAGAGGCCTGAAATCTCTCTGCAGTATGCAGAGAGAGAGATGCAGAAAGAGCGATGTGCGTATCATAGACTGGGGCAGTATCTAGTGTTTTGGGCTTGGTGCTTCAGTTTTGATGTGTAATCATTATGCCTTGAGCTCAGTCTCAGCTGGCAGCATGGTGTCTCTCAGCCTAGCTCACTACTTGGGAGTTATAGGCAGGGCATCACTGACCTGTGGCATTGTTTGAAAGACTACACATCAGCACCTTGTCCAGACCCTTTTGCATTGCTTAACGTCAGTTGAGGGGATAAAGAAATATCCTAGCCAGCTCTGCATGTATCAGTACATGAAAGTAGAGCTGTCCAGGTGGTCCTCCACAGTTGTGGTTTTTTTTTTTTTTAATCTGGTGGTACCAGACATGAAACCCAGGGCCTTGTACATGTTAGGCAGGTGCTCTACCACTGAGCTGTATCCCCAGTGCTGATAACTTTTATTGACATTTTTAAAACTTATCTCTTTGGGTGTGGTGGTACAAATCTGTAATCCCAGCAACCCAGGAAGCTGAGGCTGGAGGATCGCAAGTTGAGCTGAACATGGGTAATTTAGCAAGACCCTGTCTCAAAACAAACATTTAAAAATCCTGGGGATGTAGCTCTGTGGTAGAGTGCTCCTGGGTTCAATTTCCTAGTACTGACATCACCACCACCATCACCACAACAAAATAACTTAGATGTTTGGGTGGCGTCTATAACTGTGTTATTGCTACTAATAAGTGGAGAACCTGAGGAGGTCAAGAATTTTGAAAAAATCAGGAAGGCATTTTGTAGAACCTGATGGATCCTACCATCAGAGGGTGTTACTGTGATGGTAGAGGCCCCCAAGTTTGTCATGGACCAGTGCCCAGAACACACAGGTGACAGCCATTTGCTTTGAAGTTTCAGAAAGTGATAGTTGTAGAATTTGTACTTGATTAAAGACTGAGAATGGGGCAGTTACAGGGTCATGATAGTGAAGTCAGGATAGTGAAGAGCAATCCATACATGTTGTGGGGCTTGCAGCTGGTCCCCTGTTAAGGACACTTGTGTAGGGGCTGGGGATTTAGCTCAGCGGCAATAGCGCCTGCCTGGCAAGCGCAAGGTTGTGAGTTCGGTTCCTGGTACCGGATAAAAACTAAAAAAAAAAAAAAAGGACACTTGTGTAGACCCCACACCTTTTCATAGAGTTCAGAAGTGCACCTCCTGTTTTGAAATTAGCAGCATTTGTAATTCAAATTCGAGCACTTTCATGTTTTGGCTCTTAAAATGTAGCTGGTATCTTAGTATCTTTGTGTGCTACTGAGACAGAACATCTGACACCCAAAGCTAAAGGAAGAAAATTTCGTTGTAGCTCACAGTTTGTGGAGCTTTCAGTCCATAATCGGCTGGCTCCAAGGCAGAGTGGTGTGGCAAAAGGGCATCCGTCACAGAGGAGAACAATTCATGGAGGGCAGAATGCAGCATAGCAGTGAAGTAGTGAGGAAGCAACAAGCCACAAGTGATGACAGTAACCCTCTTCTGTCGCTTATATTATATCCAGGCTACACACCCGTAGGGTAGGTAGCACTTACACCCAGGGTGGGCCTTCCCATTATCCACACCCAGAACTTTGCCAGACCAATCAGTGGACTACTTTGGTAATCACTCACCCTGGATCCCAGCATCACACACTCTAGATCCAGCCACCTCTGAAAAGCCCTAGCTATGACCCCATGAGGCTTTGGGGGGACATCTAGACATAAGCTATAACAGCTGGTTGGTGGACAGTGTGGATCCTGCCTACATTTAATAGCCATGGACAGAGGGGTCTGTAGGACAGAGCCCACTGGTCTTAGAGAGAGAGAGAGAGAAAGCTGAGCCCACGCTCATACCTACAGTATCTGTGGCCCCAGGGAGCAATGGTCTTATAATTAGGATGTGGTTCCTTTTGAGTTATTAACTGATGATATTCTTGTTCCTTGAAGGTAAACAGGTTTCTAACTCACCTCCAGTTTCCTCCCCTGTGAAGTGGGGTGCTCATGTCTAGTCTTTGCTAAATGAAACAAATGACCTAGAGGTGCATGATGCCTGCCCTCAGCAGATGGGCAGAAAGGTGTGTCCTCTTGCCAGCGGGCTAGTTCTGAGTTTCCTTGAAGCTAACCTTTGCTGGTATGACTGGCAACCGTGTTCTCCTGTGGGGCACCTGTCAAATGTGTGTGACAGGAAAGAGGGGAGCTTTCATTTCCATACCTCCGAGTTCTCCTCTTTCAGTGGTCATTAGCTAGAGAGGAGCAAAGGACAGTGTCTTAGTTACATTTCTCACTGCTGGGACAAAATACCCAACACCCAAAGTTAAAAGAGCAAAGGTTTATTTAGCTCACAGTTTGTGGAGGTTTCAGTCCATAACCGGCTGGCTCCAAGGCAGGGTGGCACATTGCAGAGTGCAACAGTTCATGGTGGTGGAAGACAGAAAAGGCAACAAGAGCAAGAGAGGGAAGCAAGCTTCTTTCCACCCCTTTTATCCAGACGACTGGGACTAGGGCAGTGCCAGTCAATCAGTGGAGTGATCTAGAAATCACCCAACCTTAATCCCAGCACCCTCAATCCCCGCATTGCACTATGAATCAGTCAAAAACTCTAGATTCAGCTACATCTTAAAAGCCTGCCCTCCATGACTGCATGAGGCTTTGGGAGGGACATCTAGACACACAATAACAGACAGAAAGACAAGATGCCACATTTCAATAGGAATTATATTTTTAAACCATCTGTTCATCAATTACAGTGATACTATGCACAATTCACCTTATGGACACAAGGTGAGAGAAATTTCTGAGAGAAATTTTTGAGAGAAAATGTATTGTATTATCTTTGGGGAAGTAGTTTGTAGGAAATTTTCTTTTTAAATTTTACCTTGATGCTATTATATTTTTATGAGTGCAAGTATGGAAGATTATTGAATCATCGCCAAATCCTGACAGTGGCTACATGAATAAGTACTATGTATTCCTTAAGGTAACAGTGCTTTGAATTGCTGCGATGCAGTAGTCTTGCATCATGGTGGGGGATGGTCGGGGTAGTTCCTTCCTGGGAGGTTGCCTGGTCAGGTATGACTATTGGGCATGCTCTCAGCACTGTGGTCAGCCCTGGACACACACTCAGTGGTGACTCCCATGCCCTCGTGTTGCATTGTATTGAGCTTATTTTCTTTCCCCATCAGACTCAAGGGCTGACCCAGGGCATAACACTTTGTAAACCTTTAAAAGTAATTGGTCAAATGTGTGAATACAGCAGATGGGTAGCAAGTGCATTTATGCTGGCAAAGGGAGTGTCCGTTCTTGGGCTTCTCAAAAAGGATATATCCTTAGCATCTGTCCATTTCATGTGTTTCTTTAAACTCATATGCTACCTTCCAGGTCTGCAGTTCCACACCCCTGGGGTCCACACCACATATCTAATTGAGCTTGAACTGAACATGTGTAGAATTTTTTTCGTGTCATTTTCCTAAAATAATTCAGTATGACAACTATTTTCATGGTATCAGTTATTATAAGTAATCTAGAGATGATTTAAAGTATCCAGAAAGGTGTTGTGTGGGTTCTGTGCAAATATTAATTTTATATTAAGGACCTGAGTATCTGCCAGGATTCTGGACCCAGTCTCCTGTAGGTAAAAAGAGACAGTTGTGAGGGGCTGGGGATTGAGCTCAGCAGCAAAAGCGCCTGCCTGGCAAGCGCAAGGTCGTGAGTTTGGTTCCTGGTACCGGAGAAAAACCAAAAAAAAAAAAAAAGAGACAGTTGTGCTTCTCCACACAAATTTCTAAAAACAACTTTATTGTGGTGTAATAGACATGCTACAATAACACCCACCCATTTAAGTGCATGGGTGGATATGTTTTTTTTTTTTTTGGTTTTTCTCCGGTACCGGGAACCGAACTCACGACCTTATGCTTGCCAGGCAGGCGCTTTTGCCGCTGAGCTAAATCCC